CCTTTTGGTACCTATATAATTTTTAATATTTTGCCTGGATGAATCGCGATTGAAAATGATTGAATCACATATCGCACCTTTAATATCAAGTACCATTTGAGACGAAGTTAAGCACGTTCGACCTGAATTTCAGACAATTTTTATCAGTGTGCTACGCTCCACCAATCGGCGAACTGGGCTGCTTACACGAATCAATTCATTTCATGATTTTCCACAAATAAATACTTTAATAATAAAATATAGTGAAATTTTTATTTCCGTTCTACATTCTATATTTAATTGTAAGTTGCGATCTTTCAGGATGTACGTATATCTGAGATATACATACATATTATCAGAATCTTCCGAAATACTTTTCAAGAGCAATCAACAGTTTTTAAATGATCTATTTAAAGAGACCTATATTTTGGCTGGGTTTCGGAAACGGCTGATTTTGGTCGCTTGGTGGTTTTTTTTTTTTTTTTTTTTTTTTTTTTTTTTGATATTTAACCGCCCCTCTGCTAAAGAATTTCGTCAATACCACTCGTAATTCCAAGGCTAAATAAACCAAACTCTGCAAACGTAATAAATAAATATACATATAATTCTGAACTTCATTGTAATGTATGTTATTTTGTAAACTGAACAAAGAGCTTAACGCCGTAATAAAACTTAACAAAAATGTGGCTCGAAAAGCATTATAAAGTCATAATTTTATGTTATTATATTATAATAATAACAGTTCAAATCAATTTGGCCCCAGCAGCCAATTAGATAAATTACAGGCCCGTGGGAGTCATTAGATCAGCCACCAGTAACAAGAACAACAGGGGCAACAACAAAAAACTCAGCCAGTTAGACGTATAAGAATTAATGGAGCGGTAGTCCACACCATGCACAGCCAACAACTATTACAAGCCAGACCAGAGGGCGTGCCAAGTTGCTTGCCTGGCCGTCATGTAGGGGCGTACGACAGGTCGACATGGCGCGCATTGTTGTTGGTGTCGCTGGTGGTGATGGAACCATATTAGGTACCGGTTTGCCAACACAAGATAATATATAATATTTCAACTAAGGTTTATCCCCTACCGACGTCATCAACAACCACCCCCACCTAGTAGCTGGTGCATGTAATAGTGCGTATGTATATTTTTTGGAATTTTGTATGCGTTGGTTTTCGAACAAAAACACAAACACATCTATACACATGTACATGGCAATGACCTGGCTGTAAAAATTGTTTTTAGTTTTATGGCTATGTTGCCATAAATAGCTACGCATAAACATGTCCAACGGCTGGCAAGCAACGACGAACTCAGTGTGTTCCGTAATCAGTTGGGCTTATGGTTCAATAAACTTGCCACAAATTACGTACAAATGTTTGATACATATAGTACTTGTACTTGTATACCATACCTATCTACATATGCGCAGCGCTACTTAAATCGAGCAAACAGAATTATAAATCTAAATTCGAAATACACAAAATGGAAGCAGCATTCAATTATAAATTCTCGTATATACTTGTAGTATGTATCTATCTATATGTACATAGATCTGAGTGCGCATTGCGCTACTTGCTGCGAAGTGTAACAGAAATTAAACAATTAATTACAAATAAAAACGAAACCACAGGAAGCGGCATGCCTGCGCACTTTACGGATAGGATGAACAAGAAATGGGAAAAATGTTTGTGAATATCTCTCGGAGTTCTCTCTGTTACTGACTTACAATGGGAGCGATTTGAGAAAACAGTCGGCAAATATCAATTCCTCGAAACTGTGAATTTTGATATCTAAAGTTAAAAGTAGCAATGATCGGTAACTATGTATAGTTATGAACGAAAAGATAACAACAAACGTTGTGTTTGTTCAACTCGGTAAGCTTTTTCTTCAAAATTTCAAAATTAAACAATTTAAGTGGGGATAATTTGCAGTTATGCAAGAACTAAAAGCCTTAGCTTTTTATTCAAGATTTTATTTTATAAAATGTTTACAAATGTGCGTTAAGCCCAATATGTTCCTATGGCTGTAAGCCGGGGAGTAACGCTAGCAACAGCAACTGCAAAAGCTTCCGCGAGATCCGCAATATGCAAAAGAAACCGAAAAAGTCTTTGTCAATGTGCTAATAAAAATGTAAAACTTAGCTGCTGATAGTTGCTGATTTGTGTATATTTATTAATAAACTAAAGCCGTCTTACTATTTTTCAATATAAAATTTTCAACGCAATCAGCTGCTCTTCCCTTGTTTTTGTGATGTTCCACAATTGGTTTGTATGTCACTGTTTTTTTTCTGACTTTTAAGGTGAGAAATGTGTAAAAACTAGCTGCAGAACGTGCGAAACGTACTTTAGAGTTAAGATTCAAGCACACTTGCAAAACTTGAGTAGGCAAAATAGATTAAGTTAAAACTAATTAAAAAATCCTACTATATATTTAATAGAATTATAAAGAATAATAATAATGTTTAATGTTAAAACTAAAATTAATAATATGAAAATACCCTAATAATAAGATTGATATAATTAAAATTGTAATGACTAGCGTAATAATTGAGAAGTAACCTAATACTTGTAACACTAGGATAAGGTTAACAAATAAAATAAATAAATATAAATAAATTTGCAGATGTGTGTATAATCGTATGTAAGTATACTTACGCTTTACATTTATTGCCTATTGAACATAGTTTACAATTAACAATAGTTGATGGAAAAACTGTAGTACTCTAAGTCAAACATCTTCTTGTAAGTGCTACATACTCGTATGCCGCAAACCCAACAGAAATGAATGATTTGGAATTATGCCATGAAGAGCGTTATGAGTTGGGGTTGTCTCCATTACACTCAGATATTCGGGTTTATGAATAATTTCTGTCATACAGATTGTATCTGAAAAATTGACGTATCTGTACCCCAGAAGGGAAAAATGCGATTCTGCTGAGAAAACTCGAACGCAAGCAGACGTTTGTGCAAAAGTGGGATTTATTTTATAATGAAACACCGAGAAGTGGAGGAAGTAGAACTTTAAATGTAGATATAATACAAAAAATTAAACGGATATTTCTATTGGAAGTATTTTTGGCTGCCGATTCTACACAAGACCGATCACTGGGGTTCGTTCATAGTCGGCTATATGATATATGAGTGTCTGGATCAAAATCGGTCAGGTGATGTAAAACTTTCTTTAATTTTGTTTAATTCGAATAAAAAACAAAAAAAAAATGTGTACTAAGAGCTCATTCTGAATCGGTCAGTTATATGGGAGCTATGTGATATAGTCATCTGATCTTGACGATTTTGGAGTATTGTCATCTTACTACATATAGCACACCGTGGCAAAAATTTCAGTACAATAGCTAGACTATAAGCATTTTTGGCCGCTGCTCCCATACAAGACCGTTAAATTCGTTAAATTTGTATACAGATTTTGTTTTGTTTGTGCTACTGTACAACAATGGCAACGGCGCCAAGGCGAAAATATTGGCCCCATGCAATCGAAAGCTGCACCGGTTTTTCACGCTAATATTAGCAAAAGCAGCAGCAAAGCACTAACAACAACAATGGTAATAAAAACAGGCAGAATTTCGCAACAACAACAAAAACTTTTTTCTCGCAATTTTCGCTCTTAAAGCAGAGCCCATTAAAAATAGCCCCCAAAAAGCAAAACGCACAAAGAAAGTTGTTTTTTATTTTAGAATTGGAAATGGCACTTGCTCACTTTTTCCTCTGCTCATTGAATTTGTGCGGTTCTTTCTTTTGTGTGGAACACACTGCTGGCCATGAGGCGCTGACAGGCGAATGGGCCCTGAGCTGCCTCTAGGCGAGTGCGGTCCACGTCAGAGAAACCAATTCAAATGCCATTAAACAAGTGAAAATTGAGACTCAAACGGCATGAATATATGTTGCCAATCGTCACGAACGGGACTAAAAGGGGTTCCGAGCATTGCATCGCGGTTTAAAATAGATTTTATCGCGCGTTCTGTGCAAAGTTTCAATTTCTGATGCAGTTCCAATTCAACCGACGTATTATTGGCCCAATAAACTTTGCACTTTCGAAGTTGGCCGATAGCCAACCAAAGTGAGTTAAGTGATTTTCTAATTAAAACGGATGATACGACAGCCTATCCGAGGATGGCACTTGTAATCGCCTTCACGTACAGGCAAATACCCGACGCCAGATATAACCTGCCCTATTGCTCGATGCAGCTTCGTCTAAATTTATTTTTTAGATGGCAGCAGCTGCCCCGACTAGCTGCATCTTCTATAACTAGTCCTATAACTACACTACACAGTTTTGATTTGTTTACGACTTAATAGATTTTTTATGAACGAATTAAATAAAAGTACGAGGGCAGTCCAAAATGTTTCTATCCGGGTCAAAACGTAGAGCGCCTACATTGACCAAACTTTGAGATTGTGATTAGGCATCTTTTAATGTTTCCGCCAAAGCGACCGCGATTCACCAATAGTTCTGGACAACCGCCGAATCAAAGTAAGAGAAGTAGTGCAGAGCTGAGATTTCGCGATTTCCATATTTTGTACAACAATTTGGACTGTTCGATCAACTGCACCATTCCATACATCAGCAGTTTGCTTCAGTATACTTCTTACTCAGACCTAGTCCCAAGTGACTTCTTTTTATATCCTAGCTGAAAGTTTCGCTTGGGGGACATACTCTTTTATCAAATGAGAAGGCTAATTAAGAACCATTTTTAAGACGGTTTCAAGACGGTTAATATTTTTTAAAGGGATTGAAGAGGTGGGAGAAGTGTGCTGACTTAGAAAGAGACTATGTTAATTGTTTTAAAACTGTTGTATCATTGCCAGGTTATACATTTTTCGGACTGCCCTCGTATACAATATTTCACACATACAATCAAACATTTATCAAATACAATTGGCAACGGAACAGGAAAAGTAAAACAAATTTTTGATTGGCTCATAACATTTGACAGATATTAATACATGAACATTACAAGATTATATTTTTAGCTTTTTCATCTTAAAACAAGAAACTCACCTTAAAGTGCAAATTTGTTGGCCGAAATCATTTGTGACATAGAAGAAAAATGGTAATGGCAATGATTTCGGAAATGGTGCGTTCAAACACGTGGAGAACTATTTTTTTATATATTATGCTACAAAGAAAAGATAGAAATGTTTATAAATGATTATATTTGTACTTATATTGCACACGGCTTTTAACTTTATATTTTATTTTGTACTTTATATTTTATATTTTACTGACTTTTTTAAGTTGCTACCCTAACCAAAAATATGGTTAATGATATAAAATATAAAAATTAAATATTGGGATTTTTTCTCATTGAACCCTATTTTGATGAATAAAATTATTAACGTTAAAAAGTTTTAATGGCAATCAAATGATATCCATTTACACTTTAGATCCGAGGCTAGTAAATAGATACCGTATTTCAAGCTGGAGAAATGTTTTATTCATTTTTGTTGCATAGTGTAATTGGAGGTAGTAGTCATGAGTCATGTGACCAAGAGAAACAAAAATCTATTTTATTGTAAATACTGCAAATTGACGAGGCTTCCTGTCTCTAATACAATTTTTTTAGAAGAATGCGACCAGTGTTGTGGGCGGTGAGGTGCCACATCCCGTCATTGCTGTCTATCCGATGGAATGATGTGCTAGTGACATGTACTCATCGCTGCTGCCGCCTTATTTATAAAAACGGTCAATATATGATTCTCCGTTTCTATTAATAGTATTCAACTTTTTGGTGAAAAATCGGCATAGCATTTGCCAAAGTGGCCAAATGGCATTTGTTCGCAATACGGCATGCCCTCTCATTTCCACAGCTTTAGAAAAGTGCTGCCTGTCAACGAGCACATCAGACTACACTTCAATTTCAAAAGCTCGTTCAATCAATCTGTATTCTCCATTAATTGGCCTTGGTTTAACGCCAGAATTGGCATTGCAGTGACACACAACAATGCAATTTGTTTGGGGGCCAATAGAAAATAAATAAACTGAAAAATGATGAGCTTGACAAGCGAGCAGCGTTTAGTGGGTTTGAAATTGAAGCGACGTAGAAACAGCCCACAAAATGTTTTGTCAATAACTTTTAAATGCTTTGTTTCATGCACATGCATTTGTTTGTAAAAATATGCACTAACAGACTTGTCATAGACACAAAAAATAAGTAGTATGTGGCATTAAAGAATCGGGTGTGGAGGTGCATCAGATATTTTCCTGATGATGATGAACTCTATATGAGAATGCATGATGAACATACATTGTGGTTGCACTTTCTAGATCTTACAGGTTTCTTGTATAATGAGAATCTATTTATCATTATTTTAACTTAAACATTTGAATGCTATCTTACCAGATACCATATCAGATAGATAAATAAACAAAAAATATAACAATTAATTAAAATGGATATGTTATAACAGTGCAGCGGGAATTGTCTTGGGAAATGAAATTATATGCAGTGCGTTAAATATCTATCCAGATTTCTCAAGGTGGTAATACGGACGCACATGTATCAATACTTTTTGAGTTCTCTACGCAATGAGTATGCTCGATTGTAAGCAGTGTGTTCCACCCAGAACTAAGGATGGACTAAAGGGTGGTCCCCATTAAGCTTAGCTATTCTTGATAGAACGTGTATATCAATCTGTCAACGTGTATTTCTTTATGAAGGCAAAAATATCAAAAACCAGAGCTATGTACATATATACATAGCTAAGCCTCAGACACTCCTTAGTTGGCTTAAGTCTTTATCCAATTTATACTGCTTCGCATTGGGCAATTGATGAATCATTTGGGTGATTTTTTCCAATATTGAAACCTTACCTATTCTAATCTGAATGCATTTTCTTGTGGTGCAAGTCCAACCCTCATGAATTACACATAGTATGTTGTTCATAACTGTAGATATGTATAACTACCGCTTATGTATATGCCAAACAACACAAAAAAAATATATATCCCTCAACATAATATGTGATACCGAAACTAATCCCCCCGTCCGTCGAACTTTTAAAATATATTCAAGCTTTGGTGTCAACAAAACGGAAAAAAACATTCTGAAACAAGTGGAAAAGCTAATGTTGGGTGCTCCGACTTTGATGTAAATGCAATATACTCCTGCTTCTTTTAGGTACAGAGTATAAAAATGTAAGGGATACCATGGCACCCACTCCTTCCTCCCATAAAGCATAGACAACATATTTAGAGCCAAGCACAGGAGCTGTCGAAGCATAGAAACTTATAACAACATTTATGATGCGGCGGCCAGTCGACTGAAAACTACATGAGAGACTCCGTATGGGCCGGGCCTGAATGAACTAGCTAACAGAATGACTAAAATGAATGAATGTGTGAGTGAGTGAGGGAGTGAAGGAGTGAGCAAGTGAGGGATTGAGTGGCCAAACGGATGGTTGGCTGCTTTACATGCTTTGTTTGGCGAGCAGTGAGCGCGATAAATTTTCATAATAAACTGGAAAAATGAGTTGAATTAAAAGGCAAACACAAACAACAGCAAAACATGGCTGCTGCTGCTGTTGTGTTGATGGCGGTCTCTATTGTTTTTGTTGTTGTTGTTTTGTTGTGGTAATATGTGCACGAATAACAAAATTATAGTTAAGTGCCTTGAGAGTGAGAAAAAATTCTAATTTGTCAGAGCGGGGAAAAGGCGAAATGAACATGCAATGTGAAAATTTCACACGAGCAACGAACCAACCAACTGACAAGACAAAGTGCAGCAACAGCAACAAAGCCAATGAACGTCCCTCAGTTCAGGGTCATTTCTGTCACCTGGGAGATATGGTACATATGTACATATGTATGTATGTACACACGTATAAGTACACTGTTTGTTGGTCCTAATGACTAGGTTTTTAATTAATAGCTCTGGGCGCTGTCCACCACCCCTTGAGATATGGCCAAATGCCTGGCAAGCTGTCACAGGCACCGGGGCTTATCATAACTGTCGGCCAACTCAGCAAAAACACATCGCGAAGTGGAAAACTGAAAACTGAAAACTGAAAATTGAAAATGCCCCCAAAGAGAGCGCGACCAAATGACCAAATGGCCATTGGCCTCTCTTTGATGCATTTGATAAATTGTGAAAGTGTTTGCCGTCAGTAAAGCTAATTGACGCTTATACTCGTATGTACGAGTATGTACCTCCTATTACAAGTATAAGCTGACGTTGTTGTTGGAAAATTGAATTTTCGGTTCCAATGACTTTTCCTTTTTTTCGTAAATTATTAAACACCGATAAAAAGACGATTAAAAGGTGAATAAATGCAGACACAAAGACCCATTGACGGCCAACGGCACGTGAAAGGCGTGAAAGGCGGCCACAAAAAAGAAGCAAACATAATAGGCGGACAAAATGAACTTGCCGATAAGCGTCCGAGCGATTTTGCGGTTTCTCGCAGCGTCGCTAAAATTACTGTAAATTGTACCTTCCATGCGGAGGGCAAGTGAGCGATAAGGGACTTAAGGCAAGGCTCGTCTTATCTAATTTGTCTTTCATGCTCATTCTCACATGCACTCATACATATCCATTACCATGTATGTATGTATGTACGGACATATGTTTCTGCTTATTGGCATCGATGCGACAAAGTTTTGAATTTTGATATCAATTACTCACACATGCACGCATTTTTGTATCTTGGGCGCTTGCTGACAGTGGGGAGAGACAGGCCTTACGGCGCCAACCATCGAAGGCGACTACTAGAATTTCAAATGCACGCGCTCTCGAATGTTCAGTTCTTAATTTTCAAGTGCTTCTTATTGAGAGGGGCCTCCCGACCGTTAACCACAGCTTGTGGCTATAAAATTTACGACATTTGGCAGTTTAAGGCAAGGTCAAACGAACAAAAGAGAGAAACACAGCAATTGTGTCAAACGCTGTGGTATAGATAGAAAAAACAAAGCCGTAATCTTTAATTTGTTTGGGGAGTATTTGCATAAATATGTATGTATGTGTGTACATACAGGGTGCGCCATCTTTTATGTCGGTATGTAAACATTGAATATCTTTGAAAATAAACAACCGATTTTCAGGTATGAGATATTTTTATTTAATTTGGTTTTGTACAATTTCTTCAACTGAGGTTTTCAACACTGGTCTACTCAAGTCAATCGGTTCACTAATGACAAAGTTATTCAATATTTACATACCGACATAAAAGTCCTTGAAACCTCAAAATCCATTACCCAGTCTGACTTATACGACTTCGTGGCATAAGATATTTCAGAAAATGTAATCCATACTAATATTAAACAGCGGAAAGAGTTGATTGTTTCTTTATTTGAATTAAAATGCATCCGAGTACTGGATACTGGACCGATTTAAAGGATTCTTTCACTGTTGGGAAGCTACACTGTCCCCGGTTAACATAGGCTATATGATATTTACAAACAAAGAAAGGGATCCTTACTAAAAACGCCAATAATGTAACCCAAGGTGTACAAAAAATACCTAAGCAATTTCTGAACAGTTGCTGTTAGTTCAGAATCATCCTCGAAACATTCTGTCACTTTAAATTTTAAGGCAATATTATTCAAAAGTCCAGAGCCAAATAAGTAATTACAAATCGATCGACACCGTGACTATTATCGAAGATAGAGTCCATTTAAATTCATTAAACCCTTCTGGACTGCCTCAATATGAATTGACGGTAAAAATCGGAATTCTAATCATGCTTTTAAGAAATTTAAGCCCTCCGAGCATGTGCATTGGGACGAGGCTGCTTATTAAGGAACTGCAGGACAATTTAAGTGTAGCAATCATTATCAAATCGATTTATTTGGCAGCCATAAAATAAAATAACATCATATATCGTTTACAAAGAAGCTCCTACTCAATAAAGAATAGTAAAAAAAAAACTAAACAGTCGAGCAACCCCGACAGTAAAATAGCCTGTACTCTCCACAAAAAAAGGAAAGTTAAAAAAAAAAAATTAAATTTTTAAAAAAGTGAATTAATTAAGTAATTTAATTCAATTAGAAGACATGTTTATGTTCAGTTTTAACATCATACATTTACATCACGTGCCTATGCGTGTTTATATGCGTGTATGTATGCAGCACAAAGTTGAACCAAAGCATCAGAATCAACAAATAAACTTGACCTGCCTAGGACTTAGGGTAACCTCGATACCACGTTTGGTTATTTTAGCTCTTGTAGCTATTGCGCTCATACAGACAGACGGACAGACAGACGGACGGACAGACGGACGGACAGACGGACGGACAGACGGACGGACAGACGGACATGGCTATATCGACTCGTCATCCTGCTCAATAATATATATACTTTGTGGGGTCTGCCACGCTTCCTTCTGTGTGTTACATACATGCGCACAAAACTAGTATAGCTTTTCACCCTTTGGGTACAGGCTATAAAAAGAACAAAAAAAAGCATTAAAATAATAATATCCAAACAATGTTTATTTTTTTTTTTAGTAACTCATAGCAGGGAGAAGGGTGTATGTTTGTGTGGGATATAAAAGTTATAATTTTTTTGTAAAATACCCGTGAAAAGCGGGGGCGGGACGCTAGTATTTGCTAAAAAACTATGCAATTTTTACCTACATCAACGGTGAATTTGAATTTATGTATATACATACATAGGCTGTATGTATGTATTTATCACTATTCTTTTGCTGTTCACTTTCACTTAACTTTACCATAACATTCAGAATATTCAAAAAAATAAAATAAAATAAACTCGTCCTTTCTCGGACCTAAGAGAATCTGGATACCAACTTTGGTTATTCTAGCATTAATAGTTTCTGAGATCCTTGCGTTCATCCAGACAGGCGGACCGACGGACATGTCTAGATCGATTTCTCTCGTCATGATTCAGAATATATGTATATACTTTATGGGGTCGGAGATGCTTCCTTCTGCATGTTACATACTTTGCACAAACCTAATATACCCTTTTTAACCTACGGGTACAGGGTATAAAAACATTGTCTGCACACAATTTTCCATTGGAAAAAGCTATGCATTTGATATAGTGATTAGACACGGTCCGTCAAAAAGAAACCCCTGTGCAAAGGTTGACCGACATTACGAATGGAACTCACGGAATTTCGTAATGCTTATCATATAGTATATGTATGTAATTATTTATAACATGTGGTCTGTCATAGTTTCTTGTGGGTGTTACAAAATTAAAACAAACAACAATATAGTGATAGTACTATACCGTAAAGCACAACTTGTAAATACTTATTCATTCACAAGTTGTGAATGTTGTTACTCTTCAGACTAATAAAGACTACTTAATATTTCAGTTCTTTATTCATAAAGACTTGTGTATGCCAATTAAGATATCTTCTTCAAAATCCTTTTGAGTAAACTCAAAGACACGATAGCCACATGGGCTGCTAGAAACAGAAACCCCCAATAAAAAGCCCGTCTTCATTGGACACTTTTTGAGTAATATATCAAAAAACAAATTTAATGCAATATACTAGTACTTATCTAGTAGTACTTAGTAGTATTTATTTTTCTGTATTTAAAGATAAAGATAAATAGCTTTCATATTAGTTTATACAGTTCTGATGCTTTTGTGATATAAATATTGTCAATTCAATTATAAGATCAAAGAATCCAATAATAATGTTGCCTATCTCTCCTTGTATATCCTGTACTGTCTCCTATCCTTAACACGGTCATAAAACTAAAATTCTGGCACAGCATAATCCTATTTTAAAATGATCGTTCATTTCAAATTTGTTGAATTTCGACCAACTAGGCGAAAGTGGGTCAATAAGAAAGTTTTGATTGCACTCATAAGTATTTGGGACATTTTTAGAGCCTGCGGCTGCGTTGCATTTATATCTGCCCAGCTTTGTATGCAGCCACCACATCTCTACTCTCCTCACCTAAATTTAAAAGTGTCATCATGGGCTCAACCTTCAAAATGCTTGATGTGTTCTGCTGCCACAACATCAGCATGAGCTGCAAAATCTAGACCATAAACACACATAAAATGCAGTCGAGAAGCCATTAGTGGAAAAGTTTTTCAAGCATTCACAAAATGTTTCCATTCCATGCCTCTGCATGGAAAAGCAAAAACGACACATGCAAGAAAATGTGCGTGTCGGCTGTGGGGCACTTTCGGCTGGCTGTGCTACAACATTATCAACAAAACACAAAACAACAACCTCTACAACAAGTGTGAGCAAGAAACGAACAAGAAAGCCGAAGTGATTAGTGCCGTTAAAAGGCTGAAAAACTCAAAGAGATGGCAAATCGAGTGCAGTTCGCCAAAGCCAGGAAAGTCAAGTGTGGAAAAGCGTGACAAAGCTGCAATAGCAAGAGAAATGCCCCAAACTGGAGCAATGAACAACAGACATGAAATCATTACCGAGGGGGAGGGTATACCAATTTGTCAAGCTAATGCGACAAAACAATACAAACATTTAAGTTCACATGTAAATAATAATTAAAAATTAAAGTAGTCACGAAAAAATGCTGCCAAACAGAGAATTCATGACTGGGCACAAAAGTTCGTAAAGATTTTGACGCACTAGCCTTGACATTATTTAAAATGCAAGTCGCAAAAACGACTAAGCAGCCAGCAACAAAGCATTTAACAAAAGAGGAAGCGCAGGCATTCATAAATAGATAGGTGTCAGCGAATGGCGAAGAGAAACTTGTGCGGGCTATTCTTGTAGATGGCTGGATGTCTGGGGCGTGGCACCAACTAATTGTGCGATGCATTATTTATCAACATTTAAATGCGCTAGTTGGATGAACTTTTGCGATGCTGCCTTCGTCAACTTAAAGTTCATTATATATGTATGTATGAATGTAAGCTGGCATGCAACAATAACAAAAGCGAATACACTGTCCCCGCTAAATGGAAGCAAGCAAGTTATTTTATGCATAAAGCACGATGCGGCATCAACAACAACCAACGGGCATCGTATTATAGCTGATAACAATATCTCACGCTACGTCTGCATATAAATGCCGCGGCCGTTTCTTGAACTTTGCCAGCGGAGCGTTGGCCAGACTCTGGAAGACATCACTCTTCTAGTTGTTTTTGTTACTACTTATTACGCTTAAGTGTTGTCAACACAATAAACCATCATCACTTGTGCTCGGCGTACATAGGTCAGTGGCTTATCCAGCAACAATTTTGTAGGGGTACATTCGAGTATAAAGATTTTTTAGAATCAAGATCAAGCAAGTAGATCTCCTAATTCCGGGATGTCATGTTTCTTCTAGCAGCTGTTTTTGAAGGTTGAAACATTAAAAGAGAAGACTTGTTCCCTTTTTTTCCCAACTTAACTCTGTGAGGACTACGCCTCTGGAAAGTTCACACGTATATGCATACGTATGTGTGTATATATGTGGAGTAAGTAGCTTTCGTAGCTCCTGCCACTCAAGCCATGCGACACTTGACATGCAAACGAAGGAATGCACTTTGAGACAAATTATACCATATTTTATTTTAAACATTTATTCACATAGTGTAATAGTGATGGGATGTTTGCTGATACGCGTAAATTTGTTCATAGAACTAGAACCAAATTATTATGTTAACAACAATATCAATCAAATTTCATTTCTAGTATTTACCTTTTATAGTTCAACATTCAAAGAATTGTGGAAGGTTAAAATAAACACCCGTTCTTAAACTATTGGCCAACATAAGTGTTATATATTCGATATTTGCATGTTATGGTAGGTATTTTATTTGCTCCACATTTTGGCTTAATTCTAGACACACAGTCAAAAGGCTTCGCCAGAATATTGATAAGATAGGCGTAGATAGGAGTAGAAAATTTGTTAGCGTTGCCCGAAAATAGCTATGACCATGCATCAATTTTCCAACAACAAACAAAAACAACAGCAGCATTGTTTTTTTTTTTTTCTTTGCGCTCCAGCACGCATACCACGACCTACCCATGGCGGCACCTAGAAAGCAAATTATTTTGGCACCTGGTTGGCAACAAAAACATGAAAGACATTTTTAAAATACTATGAACAAACAAACAGGGCTCGTAGATTTCGCTTTTGGGAATTTGTAGAAGATAACCAACGGAAAAATAATTGAGAAATATTTTCGTTAACAAATTTCTTGTATGAGTTATGATGCCGTGTTTCCCTTTCGTTGGTTTTCATTCTCATATTCTCAAGTCATTTTAGGCAACTATAATGAGTTAAGAACTGGCTAACGACTTAGTACACATTTTGTAATTTACTAACGAACATAACTAAAAATTTGTAGAAAGCACAACACACAAATATTCCATGCGTATTAAATATTATCTCTTTACTCGAAGGGTGAAGGCTTATACCAAGAATCCTATTTTAATACAAAATTGCCGAAGTTTGTTTTTGAATACGCTCATATTCATATTTTTGGAAGTGTGTATCAGAAATGGATCAACTTTTAAATTCAGAAGATGCATGTTTATTATACTTAATTTAATCCCAGAGTCGAATATATTCGAACATAAGTCTGGAAAGGATTTCAACTTCCTATTTGATTCCCATCTGAAGCAGAAACCGCACCTGTCACTATGTAAGTCGTGAAGGATATGTCAATTTTATTTTTCGCTTTCTGCCACTGTCTGCGATGTGCCCACTATGTAGAGGCCAGCTATTACATAAACACCAATTCAAGATAACCCAACTTCACATTTATGTAATATACAATGGTAATAAAAATCCTAACTTACCTCTTAAAATAAAATTTAAACTCTAAGGGCTGCAAACGATTTAAAATTACATATTTTTTAGTTGTAGGTTTTTAAAGTATAGCACATGATAATCATTAAAACGCATGGAAATGAAAGAACAAATAAAAATTAAGAAAGGCTTGCGCAGTGAAAAAAATTTAAACCGGTTGCAGTTTTTGTTTACAAAAACAAAAACGAGCTGTGAAACGACGGACGAACGCAACGAGCCGAGAATAGTAAAATGGACAGAATATGCGGCGCGAATAAAGAAGTTGGGGAATCAATAAAACAAACACAAAACACACACGCATACACGAAACACATGAAGCAGGCTTTTTATCGTTGGGGCGGGGGCGGCAGCGGCAGCGGCGTTTTTCAAAAACTAAAATTATGCATTTATTTTAGTTATTATTTTTTTTGCTTTCCACGCTGACGTCGTTTTCGGTTAATTTAACAAATAGGCAACGAAAGCATGTGCGGGTGTGTGTATGAAGCGAAGCAGGATGCGTGCAGACAGACAGCTGAGAAGCTGCCGCAGTCTTATAAAAATGAATCATCTGGTTTTCGCTTTTGACGAAAGATATCGAAAATATACTGCGATATGTACGTATATACATATGTATCTTGCCATTGCTGCTGCTCATACAAACACACTCACAAACACCACACACCGGGCCACAAAAAACTATTGCCGAAAAATTAATATTTTTATTATGTGTTTTTATTTTTTTCAAATTCCAAACACGTCTATCATAATATATAGGTATATATGTGTGTATTTTACGGTACGTTCAACGCGCTTTTTCCGAATTCTTGCTTCGAGCACAGCACGCGTTGGTCTCTTTTATTATTGGCTGGCTGGCTGGCTGGTGGTCAACCAGGCCGCCGCAGATTGTCTCACGAACACACCCATACAAGCAAGAACACGCGCAGCGGCTACACACATGTGCAACACTTTGTATGCATTTTGAAAATTTGAACGCATTATACAATCGCAGCGACGATGCATATTATATCAATATTAATATATTGCTTGCACTCTCTTCACTTACACTCGCTTTCGCTAACTCGCATTAATTTCGCGTCCACTTCGTTCAATGGTATTTTTCCAACTGAAGATGTTGTGAGCAACGATATCGCTATCGGTTGACTTACAATTTCATTACTATCGGTATCTGCAACACCGACAATATTTTATGTAATAAATCGAAATTATGCAGCCCTATTTATCGTTCACACAAGAACACAAAATACTATATAGGAAACTTGTCGAAATGGTTATTCCCGTCTTTAGCATTAAATACCTTTGCTTTTACAATGCAAACATTCAAAAAAATTCGAATCTTTGAAATTATATTTTTTTTTAATAATTAGAGAACTTTTTAATAGTTCCATTGAATAAATAAGTAATTGTTGCTTCATGAGTTCACTTTTAAAAAGTTAGTGCTGGTAAATGGTCTTACCAAGCTAGTTATCGACAGCTGTAATATATCGATGTTTACTTCTCTACGCTTTGTGCTTAATTTCGCCAAAATCGTATTATAAATAGCGGCCATAACAAGTGTTTAGAATATGGTAAATAATAAATAAAACCCATACCTTTAAAATAACAAGACTGTAATAGCAATACCTCTCAGTTTTCGCTGCTACACAAAGAGGAAAACACGCACCCGCTCTGGGCCTGTGCTTGGGGTCGTGATGCCGAGCCGGCAACTGGAGATGGAGGCAACACGGAGCCGGAAGATGATAATCCATTCGACTTCGACAAAAAAGAACCCAAGCCAACGGATTTTATTGTCTCCGGTGGACTTGATGATCTAGTCAAAGTGTGGGACATAAGGGAGGACAACACATTGAAGTTGCGGCATCAGCTCAAAGGCCATGCGCTTGGTGTTGTCTCCGTGGCAGTCAGCTCAGATGGAAAAAGTGAGCGCGCTAAATGAGAATGGTTTAGAGGCGAACACTAACGCTAATATTTGCAGCTATTGCCAGCAGCTCGCTGGACTCCAGCATGTGTCTTTGGGATGCAAAAACAGGCGATAAAAAGCACTTTTTGACATTTGGACCGGTTGACTTGTGGACGGTGGGCTTCTCACCTTGTGACAAGTATGTAATATCCGGGTTGAATGATGGCAAGATATCCATGTATAGCGTGGAAACGGGAAAGGCGGAACAAGTTCTTGACGCCCAGAACGGCAAATATACGTTGAGCATTGCATATGTAAGTGTGACATATGGAAGTGTGGCTGCCGCAAAATGGATTTCAGTTTCTTGAATTTCACAGAGTCCTGATGGCAAATATATTGCTAGTGGTGCTATTGATGGAATCATTACTATTTTCGATGTAGCAGCGGGCAAGGTTGCACAGACTCTAGAAGGCCATGCAATGCCTGTGCGCAGCCTGTGTTTCTCCCCCAACTCACAAATGCTGCTCACCGGATCGGACGATGGCCACATGAAGCTCTACGATGTGTAAGTAGTGGGTATTTTATCTAAAGCCATTAATAGTAAACAAATGCCATTGCAGCGCACACTCCGACGTGGTTGGCACCCTTTCGGGACACGCGTCCTGGGTGCTGTGCGTTTCCTTCTCCGACGATGGAAAACATTTTGCTAGCTCCTCCAGCGACCGCAGCGTCAAGATTTGGGACACGGCTGAACGCAAGTGCTTGCACACATTTAACGAGCATGGAGATCAAGTATGGGGTGTGCGATACAGCCCGGGAAATGATAAGGTGATATCCGCCTCGGAGGACAAATCGCTTAACGTTTACTACTGTCCTCCAAATGCCATTGTGTGATCGGATCTTCCGAATTTAACTAATAAATTGTAGGCTAAAATTAACAAACCGCATTTATCTAACGGGAGCTCTTATACATATACATAGCTACACTTATGTACTACCCTCCGGCGGACTGCTGGGTCGCTCCTTCAGTACCATCTGCTTAGCCTGAGTCAGCAACGTGTCCTTATACTTTTGATCAGGTATATAGACGCTAAAGGTTTTGAAGTGCTGCAGTATATCCTCTAAAATTACAACATTTTTAATGTTCTACATAGTTTTGTATAGTTATCATCTACCTACCCACGTGCCCCTGTTTAAGTTTATATTCATCGGCAATCTTTTTGGCGGTCCAAGTCTCGGCATCGAGTTGATGATTGTTAATAAACTCCAGCGCCTGTCGCAGCGTGCAACGCCCAGGTGTGACACGAACCGGCTCTTGATACCCGTACTCAAAATCATTGGGGGCTTTGCGTTCCAATGGCAACGGCCGCTCTTCCTTGACCGCCTCTGCCGCTTGGCGGTCCAGAACGCGTTGAATCTGCAGACAAGTAGAACACTTTAAAATACTGTAGGCATATACTTCGTGAAACCCACATATCGATCCTCTGAAGTTACATAAACATCTTTCAGTCGATTGTCCAACACCGAGTCCTTTTTGTTTAGCTTATCCACGAACTTAGGGTCCACTGAAAAAAATAAGCATGTCAAATAACCACTTGTGCATCTCTGTTATCTGGCATTTACATTCTAACGTGCGTTCCATGTCCCTTAAATTTGACTCATATTTGGGCGCCGGTGTAGGTTTTTCACGTTCGATTACTCTATGGGCTCGATTCTCGGCGTTGAAGCGATTTGCCTTTCGCGCTACCATGGACATTACTTTACCCATTGCCAAAATTGTAACTGTTTTAATTAATGATCAATTATGATGCAGATTCCCCCACTAAGCCAGAAAACGGCCAAGAATTGTAAACATAACCAAATTTCAGCAGTGCTGGTAAATGTCAGAACCTTAAAATCAGCTGCAGTGCTGTGGAGGGCCTGACATGCACAGCTGGCACATGTAAACAAACTGGAATTGTAACCGGTGTTATTATTATCATGTTGAAAATGTTCCCAATGATCTGGAGTTGCAGCATTCGGCGTGCCAATAACTTAGCTGTTAAATATAGTACTAAGGCCAAACGGGCCCAGCATGCCGAGAAGTTGGCGCGCTACAGCCACGAGTTTCCCGAAAAGTTGCTCAACAAGAAACAAAAGATACCGGCGCACATGTACGTGGCTAACTCGGAGCTGGCACAGCAAATTTCCGACTATCTGGATCCGCATCTGCAGCGCAGCAGGTGTGACACCGTGGTGGAGCTAAATCCAGGCGTGGGCCACTTTACGCGCCACCTGCTCGATCGTGAAACACAGTTTCGCCGGATTATCTTGATTGAGTGCATGGAATACTTCTTGCCACGTTTGCAGGAGATTCACACGCTATATCCTGAGCGCGTGAAGGTACGCCATGGTGATTTTGTCAACCTGTGGAAGCTGGCATACATGGACAAACTTGATAATGGAACGCGCTTAGCTGAGCTATTACACGATGTTCCACAGAAGGCATACAATGATGGTGGGTTATTTTGTGTACACATACATTGTATTCGATCAAGTGGGAATTAAAATAGACGTTTAGATTAATTTGAAATTAAATTATTTTCATGTTTGCAGAACCCAACATGCTGGTTTTTGGCGCTGTAGGATCGTATCAGTTCTTTCAGCATTTGATAAATTCACTGGTTTTTCAAAACAGTATATATAGCCTGGGACGCTGTGAAATGATACTAGCACTGCCGCCACCTATTTATGTTGTAAGTATGAACTGCCACATACGCGTATACTCTTGCGTTGATTTCCATTTTTTTCAGCATCTAACCTGCTCCAATGAGATAGGTTATTTAATCTATCGCTCCACTACAATTCTTTTCCAAATACTGTTTGAGCATCGCTTTATTGCGAAGGTCCCGCGCGATCATTTTCTGCCAACACAGGCAGACTACAATCTCAATAAGAGCAGCAAACTGGCGAAGGTCCGGTCCATTCATCCGGAATACCTGTATCTTGTGAAATTCGTGCCACGTCCCAATCTTCACGAGCTTTGCGCGCCCCATGATTTGCCCGCGCTTTGGTTCTTCATCAAACAGAATTTTGTCAGTCGCCGCAATCGCATCGTACCTAACCTGGAGTGAGTAACTCAATCCCACATCTTAACAACTTACCAATTTTAAACCATCTATTTCAGAAAGTGGGTACCTGGCTGCGGACCTAGGCTGATTATCAATTCAGAAAAATGCGTGCCTGTTAATCCACTAAACGCTGACGAATCGAGCAGCAAATTGCCACAGTACTCCACAGTGAGCACCACAATGAGCACGCAGGATTATTTTCCAGGAATCAACATCTACACCCAATTCGGTGATCTCAGACCCAGTCAGGTGCTGACGTTATTTTCACAGTTCCGCCGTTGGCCAGAGTATGAAGAAAGCTCTTTCCTTGCTTCGCTGGAAAACACTATACTAAAACTGGAGACCTCAAGTGATGAACAAACCATTGAAGAGAGTGTCATCCTACAGGAAGAGGATGATATAACAGTCGACAGCGTAGAAGAGCTGTTAGAAGAAACACCAAAGTCAGTAAGGAGTCACAATAAAAGCAAAATTAACAAATAGTATATAACCACAAGTGTCTTAAAGAGTTGTGACTGATTCCTTCTCCAACCGAAATATTTAAATAAGTTAAATGCACTCCTAGGGCTTATACATATTTTAAAAAAACTTTAAAGCTTGGGTTACTTGATTGGTTGTTGTCGACCCAAATGTTGTATAAAATCTGATGAATTAATATATTCAAGATATAAATTTGTTGATGATTCATCTGGACTCTGACTCTCCCATATTAGTGGTGGCTTCTGTCCAGAAAAAAGGTAGTGATTGCATAAATATGTTTTTCTAATGCTAATCAGACATGCACCAATGTATGCTCTCATATACTCCAGTAGTATTTATTTACACGCCACAAAGAATAAACTACAACACTTTTTATTTAAAGAGCATACAAACATAGGTTACGTGATTTTTTTTCTTATTACTCATTACAAGAAAACTCCATAAAAAATACAAAAAACATGAAAACCCTCAGTTTTAGCCATAACCATCCTATGTCAAGCTCATAAAATTGAGTGGCAAAGTTTAAGCATTAAAACATTACTTGGGCTTATCCATATAAATTAAATACATACATATGTTATCTTTATTCTTTGTTTAATGTATAAATGTAGGTCAACATTTTTTTAAGTGCTCATAAATTTCCTCTGCTTCATTGCGTCGCCACACAGCGACCCTGGATTGACATGCGACTTCCTCGACCACATTTCTGAGCCACCTCAATGTGATAATCAGGTGGCGCTACGAGTGTGGCATCCTCTTCTCCGAAACGAGTCTGCAGTTGCAGAGAAAGTTGTATACAGTCAACCATCAGCGTTTTGGGATTGACGCCCAAGACATAGGTGTACTCTTTAAGAGGGCACGGATTGGAATGGCCTTGGTTGTTGCCAAACTCGTAGCACTTGCCTTGAATCATAAAATGATTATCTTCCCGGCAGGGATTGCTCACGCATTCTGGTATGATTTTGTCCTTGTAAAGGACCAGCATTTCACCGCTCTTGCAGGGCCCTTGCCTATAAGCAGGGAAGCAAGCGTCCGAATCGGGATGGTAAAGAGCAGCTACATACATGAAAAAGAATACTCATATTAGAGGCTGTGTAATCCCATACAGATACACTTTTAGGATTATTCCAATTGGAAATATCCCTTACTTAAGAAACTAAAAGATTTCACCTGGTGCGCAATCGCAAATCCAGTCGTCAAACTGATCGCCCGGATAGAGTAGCTCGTACTTTTTACAGCGCGAAGGTGAGTAAAGAGGTTTCCGGCCCTGTAATTGAGTGTGGGAGAGCGCGAGAGAGCAGGAGAGGTGAATAACAGAAAACATAAGCATGAATTACCGTTGCTATTAATAATAACGCACAGCTTTTGTTTTGCTTTGTTGACGCCTTATCATCTACAACGGCGACAGGGTCAACTCACCGCCAGATTCGCCTTCTGCTTATCGACGGCCCCTTCTTCGACAAACGCAACCTGCGCGTGCGCCAGTGTCTCAATGCCGACGATAAACCAAGTTGAGAGTAGCAATAAGCGCATTTTAATATTCAATTTCTGAAGAGTTGTCTTGCGGTTGATTTTAATTAATAGGCATTCGACTTTCTACACTCATGCATACGATATGGAACGCAGATTTGTACACACAAAACTTCAATTAAAAACAACAATAATTTCAGATTTAGCAAATACCAGACAGCGAACACAATCAGCGGACGCTCTCAGCCTGCGTAAAAACAACAAAACAAAAATATCTTTAAACAAGCTCGTCGTTATCCCAACGTCCGCCCAGCTCTAGTACCGGATTTAAACTGAGAAGCAGATCGAACAGAGCTACAGAGCCAAAGCTACGCTTAAGTTGGTGAGAGTGCGCGAAGCGAGTATTTGTGTGTCATCATGGGGTTAAAAACGCTATCGTCACAATACTACGAGTATTGTATATTTACTTAATACTGGCCATCCCATTATTATTTAAGGAACACTATTTTATTTTAAAAATGAATTCGATAATCCATTTTAAAGAACATACTCGCCAGTACATACATGTATATCGTTCATTTAAAAACAAAAACATGATCGTTCCAAATGATATAGAAATTTAGTCTTATGCGTTTCAGTTTTATTTTCGCCACTCAGTTTCTTCCTCTTTAATAGGTAAGCGAGGGAATAGTACACTTTTCGACGTTAACATATAAATAAGTAAAACAATATTAAATTATGACATATATTATGTGTGCTTTTTAAATTGTAACCGACTTTTAGATATGGGTATTGGCAGATTAAACATGTTAAAAACATTGGAACCTTGTTATCTTACGATGAAAATAATTATCTGAAACACACCTTAAGAATGTTGCGGTTGGAGTATGAATGGGGAGCTACGATTTTGTTTTAAAATCCATTTATTTCAAAGATACATATGTAAATAAAAATAGAATGTTAAGCAAATTTCAAAAGTGTTTGTTTCGAGTTCTGTTTTAGGTTTTATTTTAATCATTAATAATTGTTATAAAGCTATCAATTATTTAAATGCTAGAGAATGTTTTCTTATACCTTTCTTCAAAGAGCAAAGCTTGGATTTGTAACAGCTTGGATTTGAAATTTATAATTATTATTAGAATTATGTGAAAATCAAGGTCTAATCTTTTGATGAACAAATGTTCCTTAGTGGTATCAAAGCACATTCATAATACATACCTGCACATACATATACATATGTGTTTTGTATAAATAAATAGGAACGAAGAAAAATGTGCCAAAAATGACCAAATGCCTGAACGAAAACGAAACCAGTTCAAAAATCTCCATTTACAACTAATTCTCTGGTCAGCTGGGCAGCGCAGGTACACTCGATTTTTGGTTATTTTATTAGGTCGGCTATTACAACAAGTCCCGCAGAAGTCTTCGCTTGCAACTTGGCTTACCTAATTGAATTTAATAACTCCACAAACTACTGTGTAATTGGACTGCCGTTTAGAGTGCAGAAATACAGCAGTTAACTTGTGCAAAACACAGACAAACATATTTACCTTATAGGTAGATAGATGTTTTGATTAGGAAAGCTATAATTGGCAAAGTATATAGTCAGATTTCAAACAATTGTTGCTTGTTTTTGTTTATCAAATTACAAAAATAAGAAAAAAAGAAGAGAGGAAAACATTCGAAAATAGATGGAAGCCCTGGCACGTTAAACAGCTGTTAATCACTAGTTGTTTCCTTTAAAGAAAGGAATTCCAAAATTCACTTTTAATGTAGCTTAAAAAAGCAAGCAATTTTAAATTATTGTGGAAAATGGATGGTGATGATTCAGCAGGTAAGCAGTCTTTCTGAAGTTAAATTTTTATCTATGTTATGCGTTTTACAAATGCGCAGAAATCGATGTTAATGAAGAAGGCGCAGATGCAGGTGAAAACGCTGCTGATGTAGCGGACATGGCGATGGAGCAGCAGGACGGTGCAGCTGCAAATGCAGAGGTCGTGGAAGCCGAGGCATATGCAGAAGCTCCAATTCGTGAAATAGCCGCTGTAGCTGCAGCCCACGAAAATAACCGCGTACGGCTGGAAAACATGATTGAAGAGGTGGACACTATGTTTGAGGAGGTAAATGAGTTGATGGTCGATGTGGCAGAACTGATGCGCCACGCCAGTGAGCTAACAGAGGCCATGGGCAATGATGACCCGACTGTAGCAAGTTTAGAAATGGCTGAAGCTGCTCCGGCCAGTAGTGATATTGATAATTTGGCAGCCGATCAGCAGCCTGATCGGGATATCGTGGATGAAGATGCCCATTTAAGTGACCATGATGCTAGCCCCAGTGGTTCTGAGAGCAGTGACATTTCGGTGGACAGTCCAGAGAGCGAGGGTGAGTAAAAGCGAAGAGCCGACCATTTCTAGTACAACTATCCAACAGATGACTCGGACGGAGAAGCGTTTCCACGCTGGACGATACCACAAAATCGCATGCGAAGGGCCGTTGATATGCTTGTGTCACAGGCGCGCAGCAGCGATGGTGGCATAGCCGGTTTGCTAAATCGTGACAATTTTTTGCAACGCGTCCGAAGTATGGTTTTCAGTCAGGAGCGGCGCAGTAGAGCCAGCGATGAGGCAAGCGTTGATGTTGGCGATGGTGGTGGACCGAATACAAACGATGTGGCGCCAGCGGGGCTGCCCCCTCTACCACCACCTCCACCGCCGATCGACATTGACATGGAGTTTGACACAAATCTGCCTGCAGAGCATTCTTATTTTGGAACTAATCTTAATCGTGTTCCGGGAGTCGACTACCTTGAGGTTGGCAGCACGCATCGTATGCTGATTTTCCTGCACCAGCACATTCTCTTTCCCGGTGAAGTATTGCCCTTCATGATTGACGGCAGCATCATAGACGATGAGATACAGGACAGTGGTCGGGATGGCGTGATCTTTGGCGTAGGCTTTCCACTAATGCAGCCGCCCGACGACAACCCGCACAAGCTATATGGGGTTACTTGTCAAATCTACGAGAAGGGCGAGGGCGGTCGCCAAATGGTGTTCTACAAGTCGCGAGCTCTACAGCGCATTGTCATCAACTGTGACGATATACAAGGGTAAGTTTTTGGGTTGCACCTTTCAAAAATTAATTTCTCGTATAGAATTGTCATATTGTTAATGGTTTTATGCCATTTTTCTTGCTTCTTTCTGTATATAACCATACATATGTATATGTACTTGGTTCAATGGTGCTGTGTGCGAATTGATCCCTAATGTTGCTACAATTAGAACCTCTTACAGACCGCCACAATACATTGCTCGCAATCCGACCACCAAGTGCTACAGCAAGGTAAAAATACTGCCCGAGTACTTTCTGCCTGAGCCTCTAAAGTGCATAGATATGGGCTCAATGAATCGTTTTCGCGATATACCATCCATGCGTGATAAGTTTCGGCGCTATCAGATGGCAAGCACACCCTGGCCCATGGAAGCATGTGAGGAGTACTCATTTGAAGACATCGTCGAGAAGGCGCGCAAAAAGCTGGAGCAGCACAAGATTGACACAATGCCAAAATGTCCGATACAGTTGTCCTTTTGGCTGGTGCGAAATTTGCACCTGACTGAAAAGATGATGCGGCTCACATTTCTCACGGACTCGGTTAACACCCGTCTAAAGCTTATTGGAGGTACCCTCAAAGAAGAGTCGCTGTTCTATTGTCGCTACTGCAACAGTAGCCTAGCCTACTGCTCCGATCTGTTTGCCATGTCCAAGCATGGCGTGCAGACTCAATACTGTAATTCAGGTAAACAATTTTACAATTTCCTGCAATAATGTTTTCAACTACTGCTAATTAGAGGTAAATGCGGAAACTTGAATCCCAAATCCTAACCAACCGATTAATATTCAGGTCAACTATGTGTGTTAGAATTATTTTTAATCTTAAAAAGCTTTCATTGGAAGCTACTAGGGTGCCTACTTCCCATCCATCTGCCTTATTTGGGCATTTATTTATATTTAGCAACCAAGCAAAGGTTAGCACAATTGCTTTAGACATCAAAGAAGATGCATTAGGATGCAAAAAGCGCCAGCATCTACAATAGCAACCTATCCGCAGAGTATTGGTTAATTTCCTAGAATTAGTTAAATTGGGCATTTATTATAAACCTGTATTAATTGTCGATTCTTGCAGCTGGCTACATACACGAAACAAATACGGTTTATCGGGTCATGGCACATGCCATTGGATATAGCGGCGAACCATCCACCGAGTTCAGTTGGTTTCCTGGCTACCAGTGGCACATCATCTTGTGCAAGTTTTGCGCCCAGCACGTTGGTTGGGAATTCAAAGCGGTTGAGCCGAATCTGGCACCAAAGGTGTTTTTTGGGCTGGCTGGCTCCAGCGTCCGGATTGGCAAGACAAGTGAACGCACCCCCGTTAACGGTAACACTTTTGTGGTCAGAAATTTGCTGCGCCTAGTTTCCAGAGATCTCGAATGAGGCTGGCGTGTTGTGAAGCGTTTTTGCTGCGGCTGCTGTTGCCGACGCTGCGGTGCCGACAGGCGCGAATTGTTTGAATTGCAACATCTCTAATTTATAAATAAACGTAAGGCATTTGGAGTTCATTGTCGCTTAGACGTTTCACAACTATGTATTTCTTTCAATCCCTTTACTTCTCCGGAGTTGATCTAGGAAATGCGGGTCGGGGACTTGCAACCAGAAAGATTGATTTACATAAACAAAAATTTAATTTAATCTAATAAGTTTAATTAAATATAAAACGTATTTTACAAATGTGACACTTAAGCTAACCACTTTGCAAATTCATTTTACAATTGTCTCCATATGCTTACAATGTTTTACTACTGTATGTGAATAAATATGCAAGTGTGCGGAATGGAGAATGTCCTGGGATATGTTTATTCATTTAAAAGCGCCACAAAGGAGGTGGATAGTTTCTAAGAACAAATGAATTGGTTATTAATATACATATATGTGTGTACATGAAGAGCTAATAATAGTAAATTAGTAATATGGACCATTGCACTCACCGCCTTGCAGAAAGGGCATAGCCCAAAGGATACCTCAAGAAAAGTCTTGCCTCCTGACAGGGAGTTGAACCATTTCTTTAAGCATGCCGCATGACACTTGAGTACGCAGCGGGTATTGTCGCAGGACACAAGCGGTACTTCGCCTCCGTCCAAGCGATAAACGTAACAAATATTACAATGTTGCTGCTCCTCCTCAGCCTTGCTAGTACTCAAATCGCTCAGAGGCATTGGAAAGTAGCACAGATCAAAGATTCTCAGTAGATTGTTATGTATGCTCAGCTCGATGTCCCAGCTACTCAGCCCATCGCTAAGCACATGACGCAGGTGACTTACTTCCTCGGTCGGTCCAATGATCTGCAACTCCATGGATGAGTGAATGGCAAAGGGATCTGCAATGCTTAGCTTAATGTAAACACGATCCTTAAGCGGGAACACGCGAATGCTGTCTTTTGTGGTGATAGGATATGGCTGCAGTACTTGACACAACTCGTCTATGTCCACGAAACTCTCGTAAAAGGGACTCAGTTCCTCTAAAAACTTAAGATAAAGTGCCAATGGCTCGCTGAGCGTGCGCGCCTGTTGCTTAAACAGCTCGTTCCAGTTGACACATTCCGGCAAACTGTGCTCTAGAAGGCTTAACGTGGGCAGCTCCAGCTCCAGGTAGTGCTGGTCGTAGTCGACAAAGCGGCTAAAGCGCACCCGTGTCCGTTGCACATTCATTTGCATGTGGTATTCCTGGGAGTCCTGTAGGGCCACAATCTCGAAATATATGTCGCTGATTTTGGGGTGGTGGTGGTCAGGGTTCGATTTATTTGACATTGTCGACGACACAGACACAAGTTGGGGTAAGCGCGACAGTAATTCTTCCAGACCCCATTCGGATTCTAGTTTAAGATTTCCACTGTGGTAGGATTGATACTCAAAGTTCTGTAACACGTACAACTGTAGGTCCCTCAGCTCCGGGTAGTGCGGCAAGAAGAGCTTTATATTATAAAGTTCCTGTGATTACAATTCAAGTGTAGTCATATGTGTGTAGTTGGAGTTGCACCGTGCAGAAGAGCTGTAATTATTTACCCCGACCTGAGCGACACCTCTGATAATGAAGGCGCCGCTCTTGTTGCGCTCCGCCTCGAGACCAGGGAATGTGCGCGCCAGCAAGTCATTTAAATTAGTTACCTCGCTTTGCATTTTAAACCAATAGAACGATTACTAAAGAAGTCGATATCGATACAGCTGCAGTTGTCAGGCTGAACTAGTTCGTGAACGGGTATGTATGTACATACATATATTTTATTTTCGCCGCGGCGCTATAAATAGATTTTCGCTTAACATGAGTGGCAATAATTTTACTAGCTCTGTAGGCAACCCATTTGACCGAGGCTCTGTTGGCCGTGTCGGTAAACGGATGAGTGCTGTATTATTGATGAACGTGCGGTTATTTCTCCGAGTAGAGCCGCGGGTTCAATTCTCGGCGATGGTGGAAGAGGAAAGGAGGGCGGCAAGATAAGTTTTTATTTATAATAACAGATTTTTATATCCTTGGTTATTGTTCATACTAAACCCAAACAAGTAAGGTTTTGTGTAGTAAGAACCAAGGTAAATCAAAATCCTTCACGGTTCATTATCCTGTGCAGAGCAATACTTAACACTGCTAAGGGTTTCCCAAGAGTGAAGACAATATACATAAAATATATTATATAAATATTTTTATTATACCCAGAGTACCTGTGCCCTAGGGTGTTGTCCGATATAACGTGTTTTTTTCTGAGTCTTGTCAATTTTATTTGGTCGAGTCTGTAGAGCTTTAGGTTTGGTATTTAATTAAAGTATTGTATAACATAGCTTACTTGTGGGTTAGATTGCTTCACCATGAGAAAGTGTATTGGAGAGTGCTTAAGTAAACTTCTAGTTGGTGCTTTGACTTCATTTATAATGGCACCGGAGTTGAAGTTAGGAGTAAATAATAGTTACAGTTTTATTGAGTTGGTTTTTTTTTGTTGCTAATACCAATGTGGCTGGGGATCCAGATAAGTTTGAGTTTTGGGAATTCAGTGGTTAGCACGCTGATCGCTGGCGCTGACAGTGAATCGGAGAAGATGTGGTGTTTTTATAGCCTGTACCCAAAGGGTAAAGGGTAGGCATGGCCGTAGCGAGGGGAGTGCAAAGCGGGCAGCTGCCCCCCCCCCCTCGTTTTTTCTGAACGGAACAAAAATTTTGCAGACAAATTTGAATTTGTTCCGCATTCACGAAAAAAAGACATCCAATTTATGGCTACAGTTAATTTATCAGCTAGATTGCTGTGAAGATATAATGTTGAGATATATACATACCTATATATGTATGGGCACGAAAACATTGTGTTAATATGCTCAACATATAACTCTTAACTAGCCCTATATTTGGAGCTAAGGTTGATTTTGGGCAACAGGACAAACGGGGCAAATAAGTTGTTTTTGCGGCCACCAGTTCGCTGATTTTATCGAAACCTGAGGCAATATATATTAATGCTACTAATTTTAGAATGTTGTGCAATATTATCTCTTAAAAATAGTTTTGGTTCAACAGTTCTAAAAATGCAGTTTCAGTTCTGAACTGTCGAAACAAAATAATTTGTGATTTCTTTATCTGCCATAACTTTCTTTTGATAACTGCCCCGACCCCAGATACGGATCCAATCCATGTTAGCTTGTAAAAAAATTCTGTTCAACTGAGAAGCATACGAATTCTTTTTAGAAAATTAATTAGACTTGATACTATAAATTGATTTACAAACTGAGAGCAGCACCCTTTAGAAAAATTACATATTTTTCTCTTCTTTTGCACGCCTCTTTATTTTTTCGCCGCCGGTATTATTTATCTAGATTTCTATAATTTTAAAGTATGTACACGTATGTATATAAACAATTATCATTTATGTAAGAAAACATAATTTCAAATTGTTAAATTGTACACTCTCGATGTCGCACGGGTCCAACTTTATATTAGTTCCACGATCACAAATTTTATTTTTTTGCAAGTTTTTTTTTACATTTTATTGCATTGGAAATTTCAAATTTGCATTAACTTGAATTTAATTTTTCCCTATTTATACCCTGTACCCAAAGGGTAAAATGGTATATTAGTTTTGTTCGAATGTATGTAACACACAGAAGGAGGCATGGCAGACCCCACAAAGTATATATATTATTGATCAGGATGACAAGACAAGCCGATATAGCCATGTCCGTCTGTTCGTCCGTCTGTCTGCCTGTATGAACGCAAGGATCTCCGAAAGTATAAGAGCTAGAATAACCAAACTTGGTATACAGATTCTCCTGAGCCCGAGAAAGGACGAGTTTGTTCATTTTTTCTGATCCACCCCCCCAGGCCCAATGCACACATACATACATATGTACAAGTAAACAAACACGCATAGACACGATTCTGATGTAAATGTAAATGTATGTATGCATGTATGGAATATTTTATATTTAATTTAGTTTCGGCAGCAGCAGACGAGCGGCCGCTGGATCTATATTAAATTTGGATCTGTTGCATCGGGCTGGTCAAAAAAGCAAAGTGGCAGCGCTACGGGAGGCGCCAAAATTTGAAGCTGGCACTGCAGCGCCATCTAGCGGTACCAAGCGAGGCAACTGCAGTCTCGCAGGCGCAGGGTCTTGTCTTCCCCAAAGTGGGGAAACGTCAAGGCCCCGATGAACGGATGCGCAAGGCCGTAGAAATCTGCAGAGGTGCGACATCCGGCGTATAAAAGACAAGCCGCAACACGCCATTCCTGTTTTTTGGGGCGACCTTTTGGACCCACGGGGCGGCGACCTTTTTCTTTGGTTAGTAAGCTGAGACCTGGAATTACAAAAAAAAAGAAGCGTGTTACAAGCAGTTCGAAGTTGGGCAAACAGGGGCATAAATACAAGGCGGAACCGCTGCCCATGTAGACGTACCCATATATATATATCCACTTGAATGTGCTGACCGGTGCTTTAATGCCTTTTGTTCCTTGGCATATAGATTTTTCCGGCATATCGCCAAGTTTCGTGGACAACGGTGGAACTGTGCGCAGCAGCTGCAGCGGCCCTCGTAAACAGCAGTACAGGCTGCATCGTAACAGGAGCAACAGCAACAGCCAACAGTAGCAGCAAATCCAACAACGGCAGCGACACCGCCATCCGCAGCGCAACAGCAGCGCCATCAATAGCTGCATCGTAGCTGGAGCAACGGAAACCACGTCAGTCTGCGCCATCCGCAGCGGAGGAAGAATCAGCCGGTGAGTCCGTTCCTTGGCCACGCACCGTGCCTGTTGTTTGCGTCTGAGCTGCCACAAGGCAGAGACCCTACGCGCTGTTCGTTTATGTGTGTGTTAATGTGAGCTGTACCTGCGGGGTCCCACGCGCCGCCCCATTTTAAGTTTTTGCAGTAAAGAAAATAATACAATTAAAATATATAAATATATCTTAACAAGCCGAAAGCGAGGCAGAAAGCGGCACCAAGACAGAGCTTGGCGCTCTATTTAATAAAAAATTTATACTTACATTTATGAAGAAATCGTAGATGTTTCAGTCTACAAAGTTCTATAAGTTTGCCAATTTTATACCTTGTACCCGTAGGGTAAAAAGGGTATACTAGGTTTGTGCAAAGTATGTAACATGCAGAAGGAAGCATCTCCGACCCCATAAAGTATATATATTCTGAATCAGCATGACGAGAGAAATCGATCTAGACATGTCCGTCCGTCTGGATGAACGCGAGGATCTCAGAAACTATAAAAGCTAGAATAACCAAAGTTGGCATCCAGATTCTCCTAGGTCCGAGAAAGGACGAGTTTATTTAATTTTTTGGAATTTTCCCCCCCTTCCCCCGCTACAGAATTTCGTCAATTCAATTCGGTCAATTCTAAGAAAAGTTATTAGCGAAACAAATTCTCGCCAGTACAACCCCCACAAACTGCAGCAACAAGTTCGCTCTTCTTCTTCCTCTTTTTGGGCGCATATAACTCAGTGACGGAAGTTTACCTGGCATGACGAGAGAAATCGATCTAGACATGTCCGTCCATCTGTCCGTCCGTCTGGATGAACGCAAGGATCTCAGAAACTATAAAAGCTGGAATAACCAAAGTTGGCATCCAGATTCTCCTAGGTCCGAGTAAGGACGAGTTTATTTTATTTTTTTTAATTTTCCCCCCCTTCCCCCGCTACAGAATTTCGTCAATAGCGTCCACATTTCAAATGCTACCTAAACCAAACTTTGCACACATAATTTATATATAATTGTCTACTGTTGTTCAAAATTTCAATACTCAATTCGGTCAATTCTAAGAAAAGTTATTAGCGAAACAAATTCTCGCCAGTACAACCTCCCCAAACTGCAGCAACAAGTTCGCTCTTCTTCTTCCTCTTTTGCTGCTGCTATGGGCGCATATAACTCAGTGACGGAAGTTTACCTGGGTACAGGGTATTACACTGTCGGGCTTGCTCGACTGTAGCGTTCTCTCTTGTTAACCCTAGAAAACTTGTTGTGGTTAATATGTCGTGCTGCAAGAAGCCTTGCACATATAAAGATGCTCTAAATTGTGACCAACTGCAGTTCATAAGCTGCTGGTTGTGTGACAATATGATGCATATTACGTGGCGGTGTACAATAACGTGAGAAATCATTTTGTAAAGCTGCACAAGTTGACTAAGCAGTTGGCGAGTGATTTCGAGTCAGGAGCTAAGTTGCTTAGCAAGTATCTATATCTATATAAAACAGTTTGTCCTGACTGACTGACTGATTGGTGATCAACGCACAGCCCACACGGTAAAAGCTAGGATGCTGAAATCAAGCTGTAGATGCGCACTAAGAAGGGATTTTGGAAAATTCGAGCTCCAAAGGGGGGAAAACGAGCTCCAAAGTTAGTTTGAAAAATCCGCATTTTTTAGCCGATCCACATAAAACTTGGTTTCTGAAATCAATAAAAGAATACAAAGAAAACTGCATACTCGGTTTTTTAAATTTTTTGTTGGAGCTTGAATTATTGGGGTTTTCTTGGGGCACAAAAGGAAACCGCGTCAACAGTCCACACGGTAAAAGCTAGGATGCTGATTCGACCTCCAAAGGGGGGAAAAGTAGCTCCAAAGTTTGTTTGAAAAATCCGCATTTTTCAACCGATAGTTTCTAAAATCAATTAAAGAATACAAACAAAACTGCATACTTAG